CCAGGGAGGAGTGGGACCCAGGGAGGAGTGGGGTCCAGGCAGGAGTGGGATCCAGGCAGGAGTGGGATCCAGGCTCTATCACTAACTAGCTCTTTGACCAGTTACTTAGCCCACTTCCATCTGTTTTCTCATCTGTAAAATGAGGGTGAGGGTCCTGAGGGCTAATGACTAACCCACTGCCAAGGAGTCAGTTCCACGCCATGACCCAGGAGACAGGACTGCTCCCCTGTAGGGTCTCCAGGCTGTAAACCTCCACAGAAGCAAACTGCCTCAGCTTCCTCCCGTGGAGGAGCGGATGGATTCCAACCATGGAACTTTTGGTTAGCAGGCCAATTGCTTACCCACTGGGACACTCTGTAGTGACTCGAAACAGGCACTGAGCTGGGTACAAAGGAAACATTGCATCAAGGTGACTATACTCAACCAGAAGGGATCATGAGAGGTCACATCTACCCAATGAACTTCTAGGTAGAAAGGTACGTCCATTCTCAGTCATGGGATGTCCTAATCAGTCCTGTAAGTATTTAGAGGAGGACTCCAACTAGGCCACTGAATTCAATGTCTTAAACAAAAGAAAATTGAGATTAAATCATGCAAAGAGGAGATAAAACTATCTCTAGATGCAGATGACACAATAGTATACTTAGAAACTCCAGAAGATTCAGTGAGAAACTACTGGACACAGTTGACAAATTCAGCCAAGTATCAGGGTACAAGAACAACATGCAAAAATCAGGTGGTTTTCTCTACAAAGAGAATATAGAAATGGAACTAGGAAAAACAATACCAATTACAACAGCTTACCACAAGATGAAATACTTGGGAATAAATCTAAGGGTGGAGGGTCAGTGAAGGAGAAGAAGACCGCAAACCAGGTAGATTGTTGTGGTGACTGCTGCAATGGGCCCTTGGGTGTCAGGAAGTGTGAGGATGGCCCAGGAGAGAACAGGGTTCAATCGCATCTTTTGTTCATAGGGTCACTGAGTCGTACTTGACATGATGGCATCTAACAACAGCAACAACAGAGACATAAATGACCTATACACAGAAAATAACAAAGCATTATAACAAGAAACAAAAAGAGACCTGGAGAAATGAAAAAATACACCATGCTCATGGAAAGGGAGATTCAAAATTGTGAAAATGACAATTCTACCAATGGCAATCTACAAGTTAAATGCAATCCCAATATAGACACCAATCCATTCTTTAATGAGATGGAAAAGGCAACTTGCATTTTTAGCCAGAATGGAGAGAGATCCTGAATAAGCAAAACACTACTGAAAAAAGAAACAAGGTAGGCAGCATCACACTCCCTGATCTCAAATTGTACTACACAGCTGTGGTGGTCAAGACAGTGTGTACTAGTACACCAACCAACACATAGAATAGAAGAATTGAGAACCCATAGATCAGCTCATCCACCTGTAGCCAACTGACCTTTGACAAGGAGAGAGAGCCAGGTAAGTGGGGAAAGGACAGTCTCTTTAACGAATGGTGTTGGCATAACTGGAAAAGCATCTGCAGAAAACTTAAGCAAGACCCACATCTCACACCTAATAAAAAAACCAAGGTGGATCAGGGACCTAAAAGTAAAACCAAAGACTATAAAATTCATCAGAGAACAGCTAGGAACGACTCTAGAAGCCCTAATCCACAGTGTAAACAGTCTTCCAAGTACAATGAAAAAAGTCTACCACCAGGAGAGAATAAAATTGATTAGGAGACTGAAGAATCAAATCCCAATGCACATCAGGAAATTTCCCCAAAAGGGTAAGAAGAAAACCCATAGACTGGGAAAAAATATTTGGTGATGACATATCTGATAAGGGACTTATATCTAAAATTTATAGATGACTCTAGTACAACATCAACAAGAAAAAGGTAAACAACCCACTCACAGAATGGGCACAGGATATGAACAGACACTTCACTAGTGAGGACATTCAGATGGCAAACAAACACATGAAGAAATGTTCAAAAATCCCTAGCTCTCAGAGAGATGAAAATCAAAACAACTATGAGATGTTATCTCATCCTGGCAACAATAGCAAAGTCCAACAGGGCAGCAAGCAACAAGTGCTGGCGAGGTTGTGGAGAGACTGGAACTCTTATTCACTGTTGGTGGGAATGTAAGATGGTACGACCACTATGGAAGGTAGTCTGGCACTTTCTCAGAAAGCTGGAAATAGAAATACCATGTGACCCAGCAATGCCACTGCTGGGAATATATATCCTAAAGAATCGAGAGCTACAACTCAAACAGATGTATGCACACCCATGTTTACTGCTGCATTATTCACAATAGCAAAGAGATGGAAGCAACCCAAGTGTCCATCAAACAAATGGATAGAAAAACTATGATACATCCACACAATGGAATGCTATGCAGCACTGAAAAACAATGAAATAGTAAAACATTACACAACATGTAGAGCCTTAAGGACATTATACTAAATGAAATATCTCAGTCACAAAAGGGTAAATACAGCAAAACACCACTGTTTTAAAGTAGGACAGATATGGGGGGTTGGAGAGGGAATGGTGAAAGAGTGGGTAGATAATGAACACTGCATTAGAACACATGAGGGGCAGAATGGCTGAAAATAATATATAATTATACACCGTATGTATGAGAATAATCTGGAAAAAGGGGTGCACTGTGGGATAGGTAAAGGGAGGGGGAGGGAAGGGGGAGAAAATGCACAACAATGAATAAATTAAAATAGAGTGTAGGCTGTTAAGGTTTTAATTAGCATCTGGGAAATCACCTGTGATTTCTGTTATTAATTTATTAATAATAATGACTATTTCCTGTGTCCCAGGCACTGTTCTAAGTACCCTCCCTGGATGAACTAATTTAATCTTCCTGTTAGCCTTGTAGACAATGTACTATGATTTGTCCCACTTCACACAAGGTGCCAGAGGCACAGAAAGTCTACAAAACATTTCCAAGATTGCATCGGAGAGCTGGGGTTTGAGCCTGGACTGTGCTACACAGGAGACACATATGCACTGAGAGTAAAACTAGTGAAAATAAAACAAATCATTTGGAATGCCAGTTACACTTAATTCAACTCACTGCCATTGAGTGGAACTGCCTCACGGCTGACCCTCCCGTGGGTTTACAGAGGCCGTAAAGAGCAGGGGAGGAGAATTGCCTATCTTTTCCCCACAGAGCAGCTGGTGATTTTGAAACTGCTTGTTGGTTGACAATATAATTCCTTATCCACTAGGTCACCAGGGTGCCTTTCAAGCTGCACTAGCCACATTTAGATAACTCTGCAGCCACAGGTAGCCATGGTCTGCCATATTGGATGGCTCAGATAACAGACCATTTCCATTACTGTGGAAAGTTCTAGCATGTGGATCTGCTCTAGAGTGCTCTGAGCGAGCACGGCCCTCTGGGCCAGTCCTTGGAGTGTCTGTTCGTTCTGTCTGGAGTGGACCTGGATGGGAGTGCTCCACTCACGGGCAGTGGCTGCACAGAGGACGGGTTTGCATCAGAAAGCCTGGGCTCACTACAGTCCTGCCATCTACTGCCAGGTCACTGTCAGGAGAAGTTTACTTTTTCACTCTGTGAACCTCAATTTCTACAGGACAGTAAGTGGAAGTCATCAAACCTCTCCTTTTTAACTTGACTTCAGTTTGAGAAGAAGCAAAGGAACCTTCTGTTTTCAGTGGTTAAGTTGCTTGGTTAATAACTAGAAGGTTGGCAGTTCAAGGCCATCAGATACTCCTCTAGAGAAAGACGAGGCATTGGCTTCCATACAAAGTACACACAATCAATTCACTGACAGTGGGTTGGATTTGATTTCTTGGCTGAAATTATACAGAGCATGTAATTTTTCTATTAACAATGTATAGACATTTTGTTTTGGGATGTTAGGTGCAATCCTTTCAATGTAACAGTACCCGGACCCCTTCCTCCTTGTTCTCACTTCTAGTCTTCCTCCTTTCCTGCCCCTTCCTGCTATCTGAGCCAGGCTTTTGGTTACTGCTTCCCTTTTGGGCCTGTGTCACTGACTGTATTAAGGGTCCAGTCCCCACTGATGTTAGTCTTTACTTCAAAGACCAGTTAATTGTTTGGCTGAAGGTTGGCCCTTGTGGGGGTGAATTCAGTTACAGGCTTGAATGGTGTCCTGGGCTCCCAGTTTTGGGGGGCTTGCCACAGACCTTGTTATCAGGTCATTTGGTAGTGGCCTCCCCACTTTAAGAGGAGCACCTTCAGCAGAGTAGCTCAAGGCTATCCAAGTCTGAGTGACGGGAAAGGGGGCCCTGGTGCGCGCCCACCTCTCTCCACTGCCCTCCTCTGCTGCCTCAGCAGGCTCTGCTCACCTGCATGGCACCCCCGGGGCTGCAGGGTCAGCTGGAGGCTCTGTGGCGCCCGCTTACCTCATGGACGTTTCCTCCTTGTTGGTGATACTCAGCACCTGTTTGTAGGGGGGCATTCCTGCCTGGTAGATGAAGCAGGTGCCGAAGTTGTAGCTGGTGAAGGAGAAGTGCACAGCTGGGCTCACGGAGCAGCCGAGGATGCTGCACGTGAAGGTGGCGCCGTGGACGATCTGCAGGGAGATGGCAGGGCTGGTGTGGTCAGGCGGAGGGCGGGACGGGAGGAGGCAGCTGAGAGCTTTAATACAGGGTTCCCGGACTCCACCCCCCGAGAGCAGGTCGGGTTATTGTTTATTAAGACACAGTTGCAGGTGACGCGAGGGCACCTAACAACAAGCAGGCGGGCCACTCTGCAAGCAGCCCTTCCCTCGGCTCTGGCTTTGCTCTTGAAGCGCGGATCCCACGCGCAGGCTGAGGTGTGAGCAGACACGGCTACTCACGACCCGACCCGGCATCACTCCCCACGGGCTCCTAGCACTCTGACTGGCTGCCAGTATGCCCAGGTGCAAAGACTTGTCTCTCCCACCCCACCTGCTGCTGGATGCGCCCAAGGGGCTTCACCAGGCACCCCAATCATGCAGGAGACCTCTGTACTAGAGATGGCGGCCAGTCCCCAGTGCAGCCACCCACCAGGATGGTCCACATGCGTGGAGAGAGAACAAGGGGCTTACGGGGAAACACACCGCACAAGACAGGAAGCTCTGTGCACTTGTATTTGAACCATGTCAAACGGCCTCACCTTGATTCTGAGCTCCAGGTCCTTCAACACACACTTCTTCAATGGCTGGAAAGACAGGGTGACAGGCACACTCTTCCCCACTTCCACAGTGCCGTCGACGTGTGAGAATTCCAAGTACTGAAGCAGGGCTTTGGAGCCAGAGAGCTCGGACTGGAAGCTGAAGCTGAACTTGCCAGTGTTGACAAGGATTAATTCGCACTTGACACTTTCATTTAACTTCACCTAAGAGACGGACAACAAATTCTGGGCTGAGGGAATGTAGCCCAAGGGATTGGAAACGTGGTGCGGGTTGAATTGTGTGCCCCTAGGTCCTGTGTTGAAGCACTAACTCCACTACCCGGGAGCGTGACCAGGTGTTCATGGACCACAACAGAGCAGGCTGGTCCTACACCCGGTCACTTCTGAGAGTTGTCTTCTAGAGAGAGCAGGACAGAGCCAGAGACATACTCATAGGGGGAACACAGGGGCCATGTGAGGACCCATCTGCAACAAAGAAACAGTGAGAAGGGAGGCCTGGTGGCCTAGTGGCAAGAAGCTGCACTGCAATCCCAGAGGTACATGGTTCAAATCCACCAGATGCTCTGCTGGAGAAGGAGGGGCAATCTCCTCCTGTGCCAGTCAAGATCTGATTTGGCGATAAACATGCAAAACAAGAAAGAAGAGAAAGAAAAAAGAAACAGTGAGGATTGTCTGCAGACACCTGAACCCAACAGAGAGGCCCCCGAGAATGAAGACAGAGACTCCACTTGGACTTTCAGCTTCCTAATCGGTGAGAATTATGCCTTTGAGCTGTGGTGCTGGAGAAGAGTATTGAGGGTACCATGGACTGCCAAGAAAACAAACAGATTCATCCTAGAGAGGGTTAAACCAAGCTGCTCCTTGGAGGCAAGGATTCTGGGGCTTCGTCTGACATACTTTGGACATGCTGTAAGGAGGGACAGGTCCTTGGAGAGGGACATCATGCTTGGGAAGGTAGAGGGACAGCGCAGGAGGGGAAGACCCTCTGTGAGGTGGATTGATTCAGTCAGTGACTGGGGTAATCGGAATGGGTGTGTCAGAGACAGTGCGATTGGCACAGGACAGAGCAGGGTCTAGGGCTATTGTACATAGGGTCACTATGAGTCGCAAGAGACTCGACGGCACATAACAACAACAACAATTGGTGAGAAAATAAACTGGTGTTCTTAAAGACCCCCGCGTAGGGTATTTTTGTTACTGCAGCAGTAGCTTATGAAGACACAGTATGCTGAGGAAAAGTATCTTGTGGGAAAGAAGGACCACAAGGGATGCTGAGAGGTGAAGGTCATTAGCTTAGCGCCACTGGATATTCTGGTGAGGGCTACCACGTGTTGGCGACGCTCTTAGTTCAAAAGCAACATGGTGGCTTCATTCTTAGAACGTTCTTGGCATTCAGACATGTTTTCTATGGTCAGTACCTGCGTTCACGTCTGCGCCGTACCGGTTCTAGGTGGAGCTCCTCCTACAAAGTCCCTGTTCTCGTCTCCTTGGTGTTTGAAATAGAAAACACAACTACTGTCCACCCCTACTACCTTTCTCTATCAGCATCAAAATGGAGGGAGATGGTGAGGTTCCCTCACACCCGTACCTCATAAAAGTTGATGACGTTGGTCTGGTTGGGGGAGAAGACAGTGAGCGAGCCGGCCCGGTCCTTGCACTTGAGGTCCACATTCATGGTGTAGCCCTCGGCCTTGACATTTAAGGTCAGGGGCTTGACTTTCCTTTTCACATTGCAGATCAAGTTGAAGTTCACCTCTCCTTCCCGCTGAGGCGTGAAGAAAATATCAATAGGCAACCTGGTTGGGGAACAAGACTGATGATTAGTTGACTGGACCATCCTGCTAAAATTATTGCGGGCCCAACCCTCGGTGCTCAGCGGACTAGCAGATACACTCTGAGGCAACAGCACTATCGCGCCAGGTTACGATGGATGCTTGTGATCTGCCACACAAGACTAGACACCGCTCTGTGGAGCCACAAATACGGTGGATATTAAAAACAGACAGTGAATAGGGAGAGAATAAAAAACACAAGGCAAGAGAGTACAAATCTCAAACTTTTGAGTTGTACCTGGACAGTGGAGGGACCCAGCCTTCCATGGGAGACACGACCAGGCTGCTGCTGAACCCTTCGGAAAACCGGGAGTTGTCCTGGAAGGCAAAGTGGAAAGCCTGCTCCTCTTTGCTGATGATCTGCACGGTCTCCCTGGCTTCGCGGCCTGTGGAGACAGCAGGGCCCAGTGCGGCATCCTCCCTCCCGCTTGCCTGCTCACACGGCAGAGCAGACGTTGATCCACAGGCAAGATCTCCCTCTTAGAGTACAGCCTCAGCTTCCGGTCTCCCTTCTCCCAAACTCCCCAGAATCCAGTGGCCTCTCTTCACCCCCCACTTCTTTATTGTCATTTTAACAAAAGTTTACAGAAAAGTTGGATTTTTCATTCATTCATTGTTGTGCATTTTCCTCCCTATTTACCGTTTGCCTTTTTAAAAAAAATATTCATTTATTGTTACATATTTTCCTCCCTCCCCCTCCCCAAGTCCACTCTGCTATGCATCTCTTATTCTGGACTGTTGTCATACAAATAACGCCTAACCACATATTCCTTATAGACAGTTCTTTTCTTCATCTGTTTCAATGCAGTGCTCGTTATGCCGGCGAGGTTGTGGAGAGATTGGAACCATTATTCACAGCTGGTGGGAGTGACCTATCTGGTCACAGCTTCGAGGTGCCATGAGTTGAAACCAACTCGACAGCTATTCTCACACATCACATCACATCGTCACATCACAGTGTCAGATTTATAGTTATAAGGAAAACAAGGAAGCCAGTATTCACTTCCTTCACACCTCTGCTCAACTGCCGCCTTCGCTGCCTGTTGTCATCAAACTCTGATTATTTGTATTCATGCTTCCCCAGCCCTGCTTTATTCTTCCCCCCACTTCTAGAAATCACCTAGAACATACACAGCAAAACACATACCAACCCAACAGTTTCTGTATGTGCAATTTAGTGACATTCCCTATTTCCTTTGGGCTGCGCGATAATTACCAGACTCCCTGTCCCCTGAAATCCACTCTTGAGAAGCGTGAGCTTCCGGAGAGCATTTACCAACCTGTGACTTACTACTATCAAGTCCACTTCTTTCTTTTCTGGTTGTCTGCCTCCTATCACAGGGCAGCTCAGAGTCAGAACTGACTCAGTGGTAGTGGGTTTGGTTTTGGATTTAGCCCCTTATCACGAGAATGCAAATATCAGGAGGGCAGACACTGTGTACTTTAACCACTCGCTTATTCCTCATACACAGTTAAGTATCTGGCTCACACCAGGGGTTCAAGGCCTTTTCTGGAACTGAATAGTTCCATGACAGAATGACAATGAAGCCTGGCCACTGTGGTCAAGACTAAGAGGCAAACAGAGACACACACACACACCCCGAGGGCACAGAGAAGGAAGAGCGAGGCTGGCATTAGATTCTGGAAATGAACTCAGTCCACCAAGGTGGTAAAGGAACCTGACAAAATGGAGCATTTAATGACACGGTAAAAAAAATTTTTTTTTTTTTACCTGTGATGTAGATGAACTTTTACAAAGCAAATTAGTTTCCTATTTATCATTTTTTAAAAATAATATTAAAGGTTATTTGGATTTGGATTTAAAAGATACCTGAGGAAAATCAGATTGAGTAGCAAACAGTTTGAAGTAAACCACGTGTGGTTAGTGGGAGGCAACATCCTTCTGGAAGGCACCAGAACATGCCCTGTGCCCACGTCTGTTCCCAGAGCTCCCTGCCTTTGAACCCCTCTCCATTCAGGTCACACAGACTTTACCCCTAACTTGACAGGGCAGCCTTACCAACGAGGAGCCAACTGAAGTTGAGATGTGAATAGTCCAGAAAGATGAGCGGGTCGGTGGTTTTGCCCACAAGCAGGAAAGGGACTTTGATGTTATGTTCCGGGATCAAGAAAGTCCAGAATGATTCTGTGATGTCTAGATGGGAAGGCGTGAACTGGAACACAATCTAAGGAGACAGTTTGAAGAGTGGTCAGAGGCTCTTCCTTATACAATGTGCCCTTACAGTCCGTCAGCAGTCATGTCTGCCCTCCTCCACAGTGTCTGTAGGGGTGTGGAGGGGAGGGTCACCTCTGTCCTCCTCCACACTGTGTATGGGTGTGTAAGGGTGGGTCATCTCTGGCCTTCTCCACAGTGTCTGTAATGGTGTGGAGGGCTGGGTCACCTCTGTCCTCCTCCACAGTGTCTGTAATGGTGTGGAGGGGAGGGTCATCTCCGCCCTTCTCCACACTGTCTGTAGGGGTGTGTAGGGCTGGGTCACCTCTGTCCTCCTCCACACAGTGTATGTGTGTGCATATCTGGGTCATCCCTGCCCTTCTCCACAGTCTCTGCATGGGTGTGTAGGGGTGGGTCATCTTTGCCCTTCACCACAGTGTCTGTAGGGGTGTGGAGGGCTGGGTCATCTCTGCCCTCTTCCACACAGTATCTGTAAGGGTGCACCAGGAATAGCCATGCCTGCCTGCCCTGCCCACGTGCCCTTCTGGAAGAGTTCACTGCTTCTGCTGCCCAAATTACCATATGATGTGCTATGTACTTGGATGGCATGGCTGTGCCATAGCCAACGAGACCACAGAGCTGGCAGGCAGGCTTCTCAATGAAAGACAGTCCAAATCCCCATGACAGCCTGGCACACAGCTCACAGGGGCAGCTGGGCCATCTATATGCTATCATAGAAAACTGGAATTAGAAAGTCAAATTCTGGGCCAGCTGGTGGTAGGGCTGAGGGTGGAATGTCCTAAGATCGAGTTGGGCCATGGCAGGCCAAGTGTCATTTGCTCTGTGATGTTTCAAAGAACCTCCTTCAAATTAAAATAAAAAGAGAAGCCAGAAAGTAGACACAGAATGGGGTAGATGAACAGAGAGACTCAGGGAGACATAGAAGAAAAGCCGCCCTAGTCCTTTCTTGCTTGGTGCTAACGTAAGTCTCTCTTTAACTAATCAGACTTAATGGGAAGAATAACGGGAACCAGTCAGATGTGACTGCAAGGGGGGTGGCATTCCACCAGAAATGAGTCAGACAGGTCAGAATGCACAGTCTACGCTGACGTAGGAGAGGTGGTGTGAAGTGTCAATGCCACCTCAGTGAAAGGACTGTCACTCAAAGACCAGCAAGACCTGGTTACGTGGATCTTGCACCTCACCTCACCCATAATTGGGAAGCATTTCTGGGAGCTGGAGGGGGCTGATCCAAACAGGACTGTGTCTTCCACATACCCAGTCCTGGGTCCCATCTTGCCTGGACAGTGACAATATGCAAAACCACGGGGAGAACTACACATGCTTTAAGTTTGGTTTGTAAAGTGTTAGAATATTCCCTTAGCTACTAATGTATAAAAACGGAGGATCCAAATGTTGTTGCTGTTGTTGTTGTTGTTGTGTGCCAGAGAGTAGAAACAGACTCAGCACTGATCCTCCAGCGGGTTTTCAGAGTAAACTGCACAAGAGGAGACTGCCCATCCTTCTCCTGCTGAGCAGCTGGTGGATCTGAACCGTGTGACTTTGGGATTAAAGTGCAGCTTCTTACCATTAGGCCACCAGAGCTCCCTGGAGGAGTCACACAGAAATCTGGAATTTTGACTTCTCCTGGAATTTTGGCTTCCCTGGGCCTGCAGCTCTGTGTGGTGGTCACATATGGGGAGGTGCTTTGGCCAGGTGGCTCTGGTGCCCAGCATTTCTTGTTACTGTCCCCATGACCTGCCCCAGTCATTTGTGTTAATTTCCTAAAGGCACATGGACTTGTAGTTTCTGTCTTGTGGATTTATTTCAGTAGTGAAGATTCTCTGTGGAATGTACTAGACGTGGGCCCACAGATGCTGGAGACCCAGTTATTATTTCTTTAAACCTGAACGCCTTTCCAATATCACAGTGTAAACATCTGGAATTGAGTCTTTGCGCTGTGATGTTGGAGAAGAGCACTGAACATCCCTTGGCCTGCCAAAAGAACAAACAAATATGTCCTGGAGAGGGTGCAGCCAGACTGCTCTCTGGAGGCAAGAATGATGAGGCTTTGCCTCACATACTTCAGGCATATTGCATGGAGGGGTTATTCCTTGGAGAAGGACATGATGCTGGGAAGGGTGGAGGGTCGGTGAAGGAGAGGAAGACCCTCAACCAGATGGACTGACGTGGTGACTGCTGCAATGGGCTCTAGTGTGTTAGGAAGCTTGAGGATGGCGCGGAACAGGACAGGGTTCGGATCCACTGTTCACGGGGTCACTATGAGTCGTACCTGACGGCACCTAACAACAGTAACAACAGATTGTGAGAGACTATACTTCTGTTTGTTAAAGTCACCCACTTACGGAATTTCTGTGACAGCTGCACTCGATATCTGAGACACAAAGTGAAACCACATCTGCCTCTCCTGTCGTCAGCTCCTCGTGCAACTGGTGCCCCGCACCCCTTTCCTGCTTTAATATTTTCAATTTGCACATAGAGTTCTTCCTTCCTCCATGGCCAACCAAGAGAGCTGTGGTCTGTCCTGTCAGGATGACCCACTGCACTCGGCAGTCACTCAGTAAATGCCTGTTGGATGAAGCACCCTACAGGCTGCAGCACCCCTGCTACCTGGAGAAGACAGAGGGGCTCAAACCGGGGCTCCACGGTCCTCACGTGCACACACCTCGGCTTTCTTGTCGGGGTGGACGGTGCCCTTTTCCGTAAGGCATACGAAAGCTGGAGGGTTCCGGAGGCTTTCCACTTCCTCAGAGGTCCAGGCGAAGGAATAGGTGCTACTGGTTGGGTTCATGATGGTGAAAGACCTGACCAGCAGAGACAGAAAGAACGGACAGACGAAGCAATGGCACGCTGAGCATTAGGAAAACTTTTTCAAAACCTGGCTCCAGTGCTCTGGGGTGTTTAGAGTCAGAACTGTTCAGAGGTGTTTGTTACTGTCGCTTCAAAGCCTCCATGCCACCTGGGAACCGACAGTATGGCTGGAACTCTGGACTTTGGAATAACAGTCATGTCATAGCCAGTTCCATTCAATGGTCCTCAGTGGTCACGGTGGTGTTCATGAATCAAGAGTTTTATGTTCTATCTTCTAAACAGTCACCAGATGAAAACCAAGGAGATACATTCAGCTTCCCTAAGCGGGCAGCTCTCCCCAGCCAAGTCTCTAAATTCAGTCTATACTGTAGGATACCACACTTTTGGGGGAGTAAGTCTGGGGAAATCCACCTCGTTCTTATGGCATCTCTGAAATTCCTCTGAGTTCTTAAGAACGGTGGACTGACAGGAACCCACACACTGCAAATCCGAGCAACTCACCGGACAGTCTTGCCTCCTATGCCCACCGTGGCAAACTCAATCACCCGAGTGTTCGGGTCTACAACACCACCGAGCTCTGGGTTGCGATGATGACCACTGATGTAGTCGGACTCCTTCAGGTCAAAATGGCAGACGGGCAAGAGGCTTCTGCCTCTTACAACCAGGAATGGGCCTTGTTCTCCAGGTTGCAGGTTGGGGATCCTGCGAGGAGAAGATTTTATTTACTTACTAGTCACTCAGTTGTCGCTTCTCTAATCAGCTGGAAATGAACACACAAGGAACCTGGGTGTGCGCCCCATGAGCAAAGAGGCTGGATGTGTCCTGGTCACCCCGTGACACTGACCTTCGTGATACTGCACGGGACACTGCACCGAGCTCACTGCCATGAAGGCCATTCTCGCTCCCTGTGACCCTCCTGCCACTGCCTTTCTGAGGCTGTAAGTCTTAATGGGAGGAGACAGCCCACCCTCCTCCCGCAGAGCCGCTCACGGTTCAAGCCAGTGCTCATTAATGCTGACCGCACGGGAGCACGAATGGACAGTGCATGGGAAAGCTGAATCTCGGTTTCTCGGCCTCTTTAATGATGCCAGGAGGTGACGGTCTTGCTCAGTGGTAAAGAAACAAATATTCTTATCCTTTGGGGCCTCTCACAGGCATCTCTGGTGGGATAAGAAAATGAGCCCAGAAATGGTGAAAAGAAGAAAAAAAATCCTGTGCCCCTGGAAGAAGGGGAGCTGAGATGGGTAGATTGTAGGGTCCAAGTAGAGAAGGGGACACCCTGGTGCTACTGGAAGGACTTGACGTGATGATAGCTCACACAGGTCTCTGTCCTCCCACCATCCTGGTTTGCAGAATCCCTCTGTTGGGCAGGTTTCTCCGCGGGGCCCTCCTGGGAGCAGACACTACAGTACATACAGTACATGTGATCGGGTTAGCTCTGTGAATGAGCCTGAGAAGCTTGTTAAACTCACTTACTTGTGTACCTGGCCCCCGCTCCTAACGCTTCTTGTGCCCACTGTGTGCCAGGTATTGCTCTCAGCTCTGCAGTGAGGTCCTTTAACCCTCACCGCAATTCTAGGAGAGGGGTTCTGTTATTTCCATTTAGATAGGAGAACACTGAGCCCTAGTGAAGGCAAAAGCTAGCTTGTTGGCGAGCTCTGGTGGCCTAGTGGCAAGAAGCTGCAATGCAATCCCAGAGATGCGCAGTTCAAATCCACCAGATGCTCTGCTGAAGAAGGAACAATCGCCTCCTGTACCAGTCAGATCCGATTTGAAGGTATATGCACATAAACAATAATAATTTTTTTTTTTTTAAAAAAAGCTAGCTTGTCCATATCCATGCTTGGCTTTCAGCCTAGTTACTGCGAGTAAGCCTGTGTATGTTGGCCCGGGAGGCCAGCAGGGGCCAGGGCCTAGAGAAGGTTGATCAGCAGTACAAAGACCACAGGCTCTTGCAGTGTGTCGGCCCGACTCTAGCTGGCCCTGCAGTAGGCTTTCCGAGGCAGTGAACAGCACGAGAGATGGCGCGTCTTTCTCCCACAGAGTGGCCTGTGCACACATGCCTCTTGCCTCTGGGATGGCAGTGTAACTCCTTACCACCAGCCACCAGGGTTCCCTTTAGAAGGCTTTCTGAGCATTGGAAAGGGAAAGTGCAATCTGGGACTCCGCACAGAGGACTGAAGGAATGGAAGACGGAGGAGAGGTGAGGCCTGGAGAGCTTTGCCCCTGCCCTGATGGGGGCTCTGGGGAGCATGTTTTCTTACTGGCAGAAAAAGTTATTCTCGAAGTCTCCAACTTCCAGTGGGGAGAACTTCACTTGGAACTTCTGAGTCTTCCCCACAGGCACGGTGCCCCACAAGGGCTCCACGGAGAAGGCCGGCTGGCCCGGAGTGCCTTCGTTCCAGGGCTCCATGGCGCTGTCCTGAGAGCTGGCTGTGTGCAGCGTGCCCTGGCTCAGCTGATCCTTGCTGAGGACACCTGGGGGACAGACAGAGAATGAGGAAACCCTCCCCTTTGCAGTGAGAGGGTAGGTGGGAGTGGTGGGGGTGGCCTGCTCACAGGTGTCTGTGGGATCCCCTCCTGTGGCAGGCTTACTTAACTTGGGCACAGGGGGAAAGGAATGAGTTCCTCTCTGGAAGGTAACTCATAAGAACCTCTTTTATTAATCCCATGATGTTTTCAGATTTGCCTCCTTAGTCTTTTGTTTTCCCTGTGACTCGGGGTGGGAGGGGCAGATTAAATTGGTTCTGCGGAGGGATTTTTGCATCTCAGAAAAAGGGGCTCTGGAGGTAGCTTTTGGAGACTCAGTGCTCTATAATGGGGGTTCCACAGCCCTGGGGAGGTTCTAAAGGCCTGTGGATCTCTGAAATGACATCGGTCATGACAGTCAATAGAGTATCTGCCTGCGGGTGCTGCCCCTCCACCAAGTGCTGCCTGGGCATTGGCTGCAAGCATGGGCCTGGAGTCGGTGGGGAGGGGGTTTGCTGGGACAGCTTCCCTCGGCTTCTCCACGGAGATTCAGGAGCCTAGGACCTCAAAGTGGCAACTCCTAGAGATCTGGGAGAGAGGACCCTGGCCCGGCCTCTTGGCCTCAATGGACACTCATGCAGACACCATGGGACCCGCTTTTCTGGGAGCTGCTCCAGAGACCGGCCGAGCAGCTCCGGTTCTCAGTTCTTCTACCAGCAGGGACTCTGTTCAAGCCCTGGTTTCCCGTCATGGCAGTCACCTTCCGTGTCCGGCACTGCAAAGCTGACAGCTTTCCCAGTGTCTTCTAAAGCCCAGATGAACTCTAGCTGCACATTTCCTGAATTAGTCAGAGCAAAGCTGCAAAAAAGAAAAAGATGAAAATATCAAAGGTGGACTCGGTAGCTGTGCCACAGGCGACGTTAGGCCTGTCTGCGGGCATGCGCTTCTTTTTCCATTTGGTTGGTTACACATTTCGTAAATGGTAACCTTACGAGCAATTTGGCCTGCATGCATGTATTTGATGTACCAGTCACATCAGCACAATTAATAGTTCCTTCTGAAACACACAAATTACATATACTTTTTTTTACACTTGACATCACCTTGTGGACACATGCACTCTGGGATCTCGTGGGAGGCGAGCATCCTCGTCATTCTAGAATTTGTCCGAAAATCTATTGTCCGTGACATACTCGACATTTACCTGCCTCTGCAGATATGGAAGCCCCTCCCTTCCTGAAATCACCTCCCACCAGAAACAAGGTCCCCCATGATCAGAAGCCAGTTTCACTCCCGGCGGAGAAACAGATTTGCGTGTTAATGGCTTTGAATTCTCAATTGGAGTTATTGGAACCGTTTTTTTGTCTTTTGTTTCTCTGCTCTAAGATAAGATCAGGGAGAAAGAGGTCTCCTGGGACCATGATGAAACTTTCTTACAGCCAAAGGATGGCATCCTGGTACAAGGCAATGAGACAGATGGGCATGCTTTTCCAGCTCCTCCAGCCCCTTGCTGAGAGCTTGGTGAGAAGGCCTAGAACAGGGGCTGCTGGGGAATAGGGTTCGACTCCAGGCACACCATGCTGGGAGCCTTAAATCAAGGGCTCTGACCAAGGGAGCTTGCGGCCACTGCACGGGGGGGTTGATGAGCAGCTTCTTTAGCCTGGGGAAGAGGACGCTTAGGTACAGGGGAGACCTCAGTGGCACAGAAGACTCTCCACCAAAGGAGTTCTTTGTTAGGGGAGAGCTGGTCAGGTAGTAAATACTTCTTTACTTCGTGGGCTAAACAGTCTTGATCGCATCGACTCAATCATGTTGGGATGTGACAACCATGGTTTTGTTGTCAGGTATCAGTGAGCTGACTGGCTCACTGTGACCCGACGTACAACTGAGTGAAGCAGAGACAGATGGGTGTAGCTCTGTTCCAAGAAAACTTTATTTACAAAAACACAGGACTAGTTGAATTTGGTCAGCAGGCTGTCATTTTAAGTTGCCAATCCCCTCCTTAAGTGAAAGGTCCATCAACAGAACCGCTCTTCTATGTTTTACTTCTGTGATAGCAGTTTCTGTTGTGAAGCACCATACGTGGGAAATGACTCGGAGCTGACTCCCTAGCAGGTTTTCAGAGGCAGTAAACCACAGAGACGGCTCAGCTTTCTCCTGCAGAGCAGCTGCTGCTGGCTTTGGACCCCTTGCCTTTGGGTTGGCAGTGCACGAAAGTGCTTTCAACACACACAAAATCTGCTAAAAACATTTTTGTTGTTGAGTACCCACTGAATGAGAAATGACCGACAGCCGACGGTCCAGCAGGTTAAAGCAGAAACACCAATGGCTGACTATTTTGTGTCTGTAATTCTCATAAAAGAGCTACAGACTTCCTCTCTTGATTGGTCTTTGCGTAAGTGGCTCTCTCTCTATTTCTTCCCCTGGTTTCCTCCCAGCTCTCCTTCAAAATTCAGTTCTGAGAAGCTTTTTTCCAACACACTCTCTCTCTCTCTCCTGTATCTCAGCCTGTTTAAGCTCTCTTCAGGGAATGTGCAGGATTTCACCCATTTCTACCCATCCCACCACAGCTTGTCCTCAGACTATGAACTCTTAGAAGGCAGGCCTCGGGGAGCTCTGGTGGCCTAGTGGCAAGGAGCTGCAACTACAATCCCGGAGGCCCACGGTTCAAATCTACCAGATGCTCTGCCGGGGAAGGAGGGACAATCTCCTCCTGTAGCAGTCAGATCTGATTTGACGGCACACACACACAAAAATAATAAAAATTAAAAAAAAAAAGAAGGCAGTCCTCTGAATTCCTGCACCTCAGTGTAGGGGAAGGGGGGGGGGTCATAACCTTCCTAGCCTTCAGTGAACTTTCCAGCAATGTTCCTCTGGAAACCTGACAAAGGAGAAGGGCCGGCTGTGTAATTAGGCAACACTGTTCATAAGGGAAATGACCACTGATTGGTAAATCACATCTAGATCGGGAGAAATGAGTGCCTGGGAGGAAGCCATGGCTTTGGGGTGCTCTTTGGAGTGCAGAGTAATGACAGTTTGAACTGCGCCCATTCCTTGCAGACCCCTGGAGTCAGGTTTATGGGTTGGTTACGGAAAATACTGACTTCTGTGGGACATGGTACTTCTGAACCAAGGTGGACCTCACATCCACTGGTGTGGTTACTGCCCGAGCTGTTCTCTAGGAGGATGGTAACTAGGACGGTTTCTGGATGGCTCTCGGGGCTCCTGAAAGGACTGTTCTACTAAAGACGGCTCTGACCGAGCATTCTCAGGCAGTTCTGTTTCCCAGCCTCTCTCTTGGTATCAAGTGTGGTTTCCAGTAGCTTTGTAAATCTGAACTGGACCCCAAAAGATCCACCCCGGTGGATGCTGCACTGGTGCCTGGTTCACGCCGTGACAGACATGGAGTAAATGTTTGACGAATGGTGGGATAAAAGACCTCAAACGAGTGCCGTAAGCGCCCGAGGACTCACTCAAACACGCGGGTCTGGTAAACCAGCGTGTCCTTAAAGTGCACGTCGCTCGCCTTGCACTCGTAGGAAGCAAAGCCCACGTTGGCGCTGATCTGTAGCTGCACTTTGCCGTAGCTTTCGTCCAGCACCGTGTGGACGGGCTCCGGGTCGGTCTCGATCACCTGTGACAAAGAAAGCCAGGTCCGTAACCCTGCAGAGCCAGACCCCTCGCATGACTGTACAACACAGTGTTTTATTTATTCTTTTTCTTTCTAAAAAGGTTTTACTTAGGTCAGCCACCCACGTGCATCAGTGTGGGGTGAGGCGGGGAGTGTCCAGGAAGTTGCTGTAATTTGCTGCAAGCAATTGAGAAGATGCACTACCTTAGATTAGCCCATGTTGTTGTTGTTGGTTGCTCTTGAATCAAGCATGACTCATAGCGACCCTACAAACACAAGGCCTGAAGCCTTTCTCTCACTATCATCACTTATCAAAGTTCATAGAGTTTCCAGAGGCATGTGGTTTAGGAAGTGGATGCCACACCTGCTTCCATATGATTAGCCCATAGTGTTTTATTATAATCATGCAAACTAACACCAATCTAGAATAAATGACGGAGGTTAAACAAATTATTTTGAGGATTGAAAAGGAAGAAGTGTAATAACAATAAACTGCTGAGAGTATTAGGATTGCACTGCAGGTGTTCTGGAACCAGATGAACACCAAGCAAGTGGGAAGGATGGAAACCATACAGCCATGAACAGAACTGAACAACGCAGACAGCAAGCCTAACCCTGGGAAGCCCAGGAAGACCAAAGGTGGGCTGGCTGGAAAACAAATAAAGAACCACCTTTGGTGAGATGAAATGAAGAAAAAACACAAACACCGGAGACAAATGATATCAGGAATGAGAAGAGGATATAACCACGGGTCATGCGGATTCAAACAGGTGGAAAGAAAAGATTTTGAATAATTTTATGAAAACACACATGAAACTTTGTTTAAGCACAAATTCTGAGGGGAAAAAAAACCTTAATAAAATGAATGAAAAAAAAAACAAAACCACCCAAGCCCACCCAAAATGTCTTGTTAACTATTAACACGTTGCCGCAAATGACGGTAAAAAAAACCAACAGTGTTTCTAAGCAGTCATCAATTTAAGTGTGCAGCAATGTGTTAAAGAAACCTAATGTTTCTGTTGTTAGGTGCCACTGAGACGACCATGACTAAGTGCGAGCCCGTGACCAACAGGTCTGAACCCTGTCCTGTCCTGTACGGTCCATGCTCAAGCCTCTGCTGTAGTCACTGTGTCAGCCTATCAAGCTAAGAGACCAAACAGTTCTAATGAAAGAGAAAGGAGGTCTAAAGCGGCCAAGAAATAAAACTGGAGAGAAGAAAAGACAAATTAATATTATCAACTTTCAACTCGCTGCCATCGGGTCAAGACAGACTCCTAGCTGAGCCCCCCCCCCCCAGCCCTAGGTAAGAAACGAGGCACCAGGGTGGGGCGGGCCTTGCTCTACCAGATACCAAGACACCAGATGCCAAGACTTAGGCGGAAGCTCTCCATGAAGGCTTTCAGTAGGTGTGGTATGAACGATGCGTACAAGATTCAAAGTGCACGCTGTCACTTTTGAAATCTAGGTAAAAAAGAATAGGAAGCTTTTCTTTTCCCCCTAAAAGTTTGAACTTGATCCTGAGGGTGAACTCTCCAGTGGCAGCCTGGCCAGACTCCCGTCTGCTGCCCCTACTCACTTTTCTTTTCGTGCTGGGAGTCCCGGGCATGTTCTTGGGCGCGTCCACCCACTTGACCGTGTGCCTCTGGTCATCCCAGTCGGGGACCTGGTCTGTAGGGAGCTGAAATGCGATCTTGGACAGCTTGCACTTGACCCTCATCTTCGTCAGGGTGATGGGTAGATCTGACTTCAGGGTTACCATTATGTCCTTGGCACAGCCAGGGTGGACATGGCCCACCTGAGGAAGAGCCTCGTATTAGTATTTTGGGGAATCTGATCTTGTTACCTGCTGCGACAGTCCAGAGAAGGGGCGGAAGTCAAAACTTCGGCAAAAACATGTCTTGCACCGGTCTCCCTACTTGACTGTGCATATTGTTATTTGAGGTTTTAAATACAGAATTACTAAGATATATTTATAGGTTTTTAGAATTAAATACAATCATGAGAACAGCAGTGACTAACATCTAGCAAACTGGTCCTCATGTCAGGAACTACCTTTAACTTTTTACCCCATTCTACAGGTCTCCATGGCAACCCTAGGAGGTATGTACAGCTCTTACCCCATTTTACAGACATGGAAACTGAGGGCAGAGAATTGAAATAATCTGCTCAAGCTTATATCCTTGTTATTTGATGATTAGGGGACACCTGGGTGGCACTGCTTCAGATGCAATGCTCTTAACTCCTGCTCACCTTTTAATCAATATGACAGATGATGGACGGATGAGCAGTGTCCCATGGTTCTAAAAGAGTTCTCTGGGGACTCCTGCACCTCCAAGATCATGTCAGGGGCCCACGAGCTCAAAGGTGTTCTTATAATACTATTACAGTGTTCACACTCATTTTCTCCTGTCTGTATACAATGGAACCTTCCAGAGGCTACATGACATAAAGTATTAGATCCAGACACAAGCATCCAGATGCATTCCACTAAGACAGACACTAAATGGGTTTGCAAAAATGCAAAATGATGTCATTCTCTTTGCCCCTCCTTCTCCAGTGGAGCATCTGGTGGATTCAAACTGCTCACCTTCAGGACTGCAGTGCAGTTTCTTGCCCCTAGGTCACCAGAGCTCCCTAAATCATCATATATTTTTAAACACTCTCAGTTTTCATTTCCAATATGGTAACTATTGATTTAGCATATACAAAACCAGATACATACATACACTCACATATGTACCAAACATATGACAGCATCATCATGCTTTTGTCAATTAAAAAAAAATCTAAACAGTGTAGAGAGAAGAATGTATAACCCTTGCCACGCTCATGACGCATGTGTGTGCATGTGTTTCTACCTATGCAGCTCTGGGTGCCTAACTGTAAACTGAGGGCAAGAATTATTTGCTCTGCCTTTGTTGACTAATACTTTGCTAAAAAAGATAATGCTTCAAATGAGATTACCTGGTTAGATCATGCTGGGTTTTCCTCATCTGTAAAATACACATGCTAAAAGCAGTTGCCTTACAGGATTGTCGTGAAGATAAAGGAATTAAATAATGCCAAAGTCTGGGATCTACCTCAGGCATATTATAAGTACTTAATACCGTCAGCTAGTATTCAGGGTTAGCTATGCAATCTGTCAGGAAGATGAACATGAACTTGACATCCTTCCAGAAAGCAAAGCTTGTTCCAGACAGCACTCAGAGATTTACAGGTGACCAAGTCAGGTCGCTAACCCTGTGCGCTCCCCTGAAGGCCTGTTCTGAGCAGACTCAGAGACTGCAGGTCAGGTGAGCACAGGCAGTGGGTCCTGGTGCCCTGGGAGGTTGGGGGCCTTCTGGTGACACAAGGCTAGGAACTCTACACTGTCTTTGACCTTGTCCAGGAGCTTCACGAGCCCTTCACAAAATGGGATGTGAGAGGCTCACAGAGGATTTAGAAGTGAGGCTTCTGGAGGGGAATAAACTCAGGGAATTCTGAGTAAAAGTTGAGTAGGTCTTAATATGCTCAAGAGCACCGGGAACCTGGAAGAGAAAGATGCAACCAGTGATATTTTCTAGACCCCAACATTCCACAGAACCTACCAACTACTTTCATTGTTGATCAATTCCTTTTGCAGGACTAATACTCTAAGTACAACACACTCAAGGGAACACAGGTTTGCACTGTGGAATAGGACTATGGAGTCCTGTATTCATCCCTTCACGGATTCCTCAATACCAGCTTAGCAATAGCCCAGGCTAATTCTCTGCTCTTCCCCTCTGAGACTAAGGGCCTATGAACAAATGTCTTCGGCACTAGGTCTGAGAGAGGGATGGTTGCTAGGTTGTCTCCATGGGAACAGGCTGACAAAACCAAACCAGAGTGGGCTCAGGCCTAAGAGAGTCCAGAAATTCTGACTGGATGCCACTTACCCGTGGGGAGAAGGTGAGTGTAGCCAGCATGGGCCATTCGAACCGTGTCATTGTCACGTGGCTGTGGTTAGTGATCGTGAAGCTCACACTGTAGCTCCTGCCGATGTGGCAGTCTCCGAACTGGATGTGGTCCACCAGGGCAGCTAGGGGACAGAGCAGAGGGCCGGTGAGTCGCTGGGGTCTCCTCCCAGAGCCCTTCTCCCTGATGGACATCATGTCTCACCCCTTATGCAATCCTCCCCTCCTTGGATTTTTTTTATTTCAAAATCTGGAATTCTGAGCAACAAAATAATGCTCCCATCCCAGGAAAATATTTCTATCCATCCACACATCTACCATCTTTCTGTCCATCCATCCATCCATCCATCCATCCATCCATCCATCCATCCATCCATCCATCCATCCATCCCTCCACTCACAGATCTACCCTGGCCTTCACCTCCATTTCTACAATAAATACTACAAACTCTGCTTGTTCAGTGAGGGAGATCTGGTGGCCTAGTGGTAAGAAACTGAGCTGTACTCCCAAGGGGCTGTGGATCAAATCTATCAGCTGCTCTGTGGGAGAGAGTTGGGCAATCTCCTCTCATGTGATTAACTGCCCCTGAAAACCTGCTGAGAGGCAGGTATGGGTCGCTTCCGACTCATCAGTATACAACAACATGTCCCAAAATACTGCACGGGATATACTTATACTGAAAAAGTATGTATTGTTAATCTGAAAGTCAAATGCATTTTTATCTGTTACATCTGGAAAACATGTTACAGGTCTGAAAGAAAATTTCTGAACTAGAGTTTACTGCTGACTATTATTATTATGTACTTCTGGATGAGAGAGAGGGAGAGAGAGAGCGAGAGAGAGAGAGAGAGAGAACAGAGTAGGAGAGAGCACGTGACCCCCCACCTGTAGTAGAAGTGGGTGAAGTGGGAAACACGGAAGGAACGTAATATTTAACCTGCCCTGTGTATCATCATCTGATGTTGCGCTCCAGGCCTGCATAGTGATGAGAGACTACACTGTCAACCTAAAGGCAGGTGGTTCAAATCCAGTAGCTGCTCTATGGGAGAAGGATGGGCCATCTCCTGTGCAGTTTAGAAATGCTACAAATCCACCGGAGGGCCAGCTATGAATTGGTTCTGACTCCACGACTTAACAACGACCTCTTTAAAACTCCCTGCATAACAGCCAGCCACACAATTCAGGTGCTTATTGAATGCAGTGTGAAGTTACTTGGCATAAATTACCCCGGGAACTTGTTAAGATGCAGACTCTGACTCAGTTGGTCCCTGATGGGACCTGAAATTTCCACTTCTAACAAATTCCCAAAGGCCTTGCTGGCACAGTGATTAAGTGATTGACTGTCAACTGTAAGGCTGGGAGTTCAAATCTACCAGCTGCTCTGACAGAGAACAGTACGGCTTTGTTCCACAAAGACTGATGGCTATGGAAGTCCAACATTCTCTTCTGCCCTATGTGAACTGCGAAGGGTCGAAATAGACTCTACAGGAGTGTTCACGTCTTCATATAATGCAGATACTGTAGGTCCTCAGAGGTCACCTCAAGTCGGGTGACTGAAGAGATGCTCCTACAGAGCTACCCCCTCTACTGACTCAAGCCCATCAATTCTCTCAGCGTATCAAGGGCCCAAGATTCCACTGAAACAAAGACTGGGCTGAGAACGCTATTTCTAATTTTGCAGGAAACCACTCGGCCTGCTATGAACTTCTCTCTCTTTTTCAAATGACACAAGAATTGAGAGCTGCCACTTCTCCCACCTGCTATGTCATCATCCATGGAGTTCTCCTCGAGCACCTCTGTGATCTCGGAGGCATCGTGACTGGCAGCAGCCACCAGCCCGTGGATGTTGTCCAGCGTGATGTCGTCCTCATAGCCCTCTCCCACCAGGTGAATGATGGTCTCCTCGTACTGGTTGTCGACCACGGATAAGTGGACAGTGCCAGCCATTCTCCCAACCTTCTGGGACTGGAAGAGGACGTCAAATTCAGCCACCCCTCCAGGAGGGACCACGAGCGAGGCCGTGTGAGCTTTCGTTGCTGCAGAGAAGAGAGATGATTCACAATCAGGTTAAAGAAAAGATGCATCTGAGGAAAGTAGTCCTCACCTGGGAATGAGTCCTGGCTCCAAGGCCACTGGAGACAAGATAGGACAGGTGCACTCTGGCTGGGGTCACTCCCCAGCCCTAAACGGAACAGCCACTGAGCCCCATCCTGTCCTCCAGAAAGCACCCACTCTCCACCCACCTTTTTCATTTGGCCTCTTTTCCTTTGAGATGTAGATGTAGGAGGTAGTGGGCCTTCCTTTCAGGGAGAAGACTCCTAGCTGGTCCCGCAGGTCAACATGCAGCTGGCAGCAGAAAAGCAGGAATGAGAGCTGTCAGGGGCCGCTCGCTCAGAGGCAATGCCCACGAGCTTGCAATCTGGGTGTAGATATCGCCCTGTCTTTGCGGCAGCTCCCCTGCTGTTATCATGGCTAACTCTCGGATTAAAATGTCTTATTAAGAGAAGGGTAGACGAAAAGAGGATACAGGAAGAACAAAAGAAGAAAAATTAAGAGGACAGAAGATTTCGCCAGGTCAACCTTTGCAACCAGGGCGAGATATCCCGGGGAGGGAACCGGTGACCTTCCAGGTCACACAGCTAAAGTACATCAGGCTGGGGTTGCTGAGGTCTCCGCTGTTGAAAGCGGCAGTCGTGAGGTTCCTGACAGGCCCTCACAAAGCGCAGATGAGTATTCATCTCATCATTCTGCGAGGACTTGCAGGAACAGGAGTCTGCACCCCAGCGAAGAGCCCTGTCTCCTGGGTCCTAAGCGGCAGCTGTTCGAAGAACACACTGCCAAGGGAAGACAACCGAAGGGCGCACTGGCCAACCGGGAGAAAAGGGGTGCTTCTCAGACCAGTGGAAAGAAGAGAAGACGAGGGCTATTTATCTGGCTTTAAAACTCTCTTTTGTCGAGTTGATTCCGACTCATCATGACCCTACAGGGTGGTGTGTAACCATCTCATAGGGCTTCCAAGGGTGTGAACCTTCACAGAAACAAGCCACCACGTCCTCCGCCCTGAGAGGCTGCTGGGTTCGAACTAGCAGCCAAGGGTTTAACTGCCGCTGTTGTTACGTGATGTTGAATTGGAACTGGCCCTTAGCTGACCTTCCAGAGGGTTTTCAGAGGCAATTAATTAATCCCATCGGAGAAGACTGGTCATCCTTCTCCCATGGCGCAGCTGGTGGATTTGAACAGCATGCTTTCGGAATTGCAGTGCAGCTTCTTACCACTAGGCCACCAGAGCTCCCTAACCACCCCTAGGGAGCCCTTTGTCTGCCTCTGGGCATGAGGAAGTCAGTACACTGTCAGAAGCTAGTGATGTTGACACTACCATGAACTTGACTGAGCACGGGCGGCGCTGGGGTGGAGTAAGGAAGAAACAGTGACATTCCCAATGATATTTTCTTGATGGGCGTTATAAACTGGTTCCAGTGTTCACCTTAAACTGTCGTTATAAACTGGTTCCAGCGTTCATGTTAAAGATTAAACTGTCCAACATTGCTAAATAAAATGACAAGCAAGGGGAGTTAGGTGGGTGGAAGTTCATGGACCCACGAGCAGAGGCATCCTCTAAAGGCACAATGATGAAAGCAGTGGAGAAGCGGCCAGCTGGGTAAGCGCGAACAAGACACGTAACAAAAGCTCTGCCAAAACGTCTGAGCGGCATCACAGCTGCTAATTAAGTGGGTAAAGCAGAGCCGCACCCCAGCGGCAGAGAGAGCACGAGCTCCTTCAACGCGCAGCTCAAACTCAGTGAATTTCCCCTTGGTTCTCCAGACAGAAATGTGTTCTTTCAAACTCCCACAGTTCTTTATATACTACAAAAAGGAACTAAAAAACCCAACCAAATCCATTGCTGCTACGTCGATTCTGACTCAGTGACCCAGCAGGACAGAGCAGAACTGCCCCAGGGATTTCTGAGGCTGCAAATCTTTACAGAACCGGACAGCACCCCTTTTCTCTTGTGGAGCTGCTAGTGGATTTGAACCACTGACCTTTTGGTTTGAAATGGAACTCTTTAACCACTGTGACATAAAAGCTCCTTCAGTTTCTTGCATAATACTTACTAAATGTTTAATTTTTTAAAAATGAAAACACAATTTAATTTTAGAACCAAAATCCCTTTAGATGGTGCATTCCTAGCCCCCAAGTGAGGTCTCTCATTGGACTTTTCTTATTATGAAAGAAATGCTCATGACATAAGGAGAAGAAACCCCAAATCCTACAAAGACACTAAGAATACCCTTAATCCTACTTGGCTTGCTGTACACTGTTATACCTAATTCCTGGGGTGCCAGGTCGTCTGCTTCCCCCCATTCCGGGACGACAGAGGCTGTGCCTGATTCCCTTTTGCATGTGAGAGAGACATTAGCAAAAGGTGCTTAACTGCTGACTGACTCTCCTGCCCTTTCACCCTCCAGTATTACCTGGGCTGGGATGGTGCCATTATTCTGAAGGACGAGAGGAAGCATCTCTGAATGACCAAGCTGGAGCCTCTTAAAGAGGAGCAAGGGGTTTCCAAGTTGGTTATGGAGAACTGGCTTGACGACGCTCACTCGTGGGAGGTTGCCCTCTCCCACAATATCAAACAGCAGGTTTCGGGCCTTGGCCAGGTTGCTGCAGGGAACAGGAAGGCAGGGCCTGTCAGTGTGGCGCTGCAGAATGGGCTCCACAGACAGTGCCCCTTTTCAGCAGGAAGTAGCTAAGAGAATACACCATCCCCTTTTCCTTATAATCAGGGAGAAGTGTCTCTCAGGGAGGAGTGATAGGGAATGGCAAAGGACACACTGACAAAGGAGATTAATCAGAACGGGCTTTGACAAGCATTTTGGCAACTGGACAATTAAAACAGATTTTCAAGGGGGAAAAAAAAAAGAGAAACGAACTGGGGAAGAGGGTAGAGAAAATAGTGCAACAATGGATGAATGGAAACCCAAAATCTTTGCAAATGTTCATTAAAATTAATAAAATTTAATTAAAAAAAAAGAAGTGCGGCCAGCGAGCTCAACGCACAAGAGGGTGCTGGTACCTGGGCAAGCCATCCAAGGAGGCCTCGAAGATGCACTGGTAGGTCTGCATGGTCTGCGGCGTGAAGGACACTGTAGCAAAGGCGTGGGAGCGACTGGCGACACACATCTTGTTGGGTTCCACATCAAAGATATCGCTGATGCGGGCAATGGCCTGGGGAGGGGGAGCAGGGTGCATGAGGTGACACAGGGCTCATCTCGAATGCCGCTGTTGTGCACACCCTCCTGAAGCTCTGTGCTAGAGAGTCCACTGCCTGCAGAGCCACAGCCCCTGAAAGGTGCAGCTTGGATTTTCTGGGACCCATCCTTCTGCACAGCTTCCGGGGGATTCAAACCATGTGCCTTTGGAATTGCACTGAAGCTTCTTACCACTACGTCACCAGAGCTCCCTAAGTACCAGCTAAATAGATACTTATCAAAGGGAGTTCTGGCGGTCTAGTGATAAGAAGCTGCACTGTAATCCCAAAGGTTCGAGGTTCAGCTTCTGGAAGAAGGCTGGGTAATCTCCCTCTGTGCATTTATTGCCTCTGAAAACCCTCTGGAGGGTCCATGATGAGTCGGTTCTGACTCAACGGCACACAACAACAGCAGGAATGCATACTACGTCAGCTGGAGCTGGTACCAACCCCTTTGCGCCCTCTCCATGCCAGCCACCCAGCTATCTCAGAGGCATAAAGGCCACCTGGACCAGGATTCTGACTTTGAGCAGAAAGCTGGAGGCAGCCAACATGAGAGCAAGACTCACAGCGCGTTTATCTGTATAACACAGTCCCGAATAAGAGGTGCACAGCAAAGTGGGCCACAGCCAAGTGGCAGTGGGGGAAATGATGCAACAATGACTGATTATTTTTTAAAAAACGTGAACTGGGAGAGGGGAGGGAAGAAAATGTGCAACAGTAAATAGATGAAAATCCAATTTTTCCAAAAAATTTTGGTAAAAACAAAATTAAAAAAAAAGAAATTAAGAGCGAGTCACGTGCAAGCTGGTGACTAAGCGTGTACACTCTCTCCCGAATTCTGTCATCGTGAGGAAACAGGATCTCTGCAGGGTCTGACTCACAGGAAAGGCAGTGTCCAGTCAGGCACACTCTTGAGGTGGACATTTATCTCTGTGTGTCATGTAGGAAGCCTGGCTTCAAACTTCACATCCTTGGCTCTGGGACCCACAGGAAGAACACAGACTTTCCTAATGTAAACTGAGGCAATAATACAAATGCTGGCAACTACCAACAACATATGAACCCCGGAAGCGTCATGAGGGACAAATGAAGAAACACATGTGACTCTCCAGCAGGGGCCTGGCCCACAGGCCACACTCAAGAACTGCTCACCCTCTCGCCCCTTCCTTGTGACTTGCCACCCTTCGAGTCTCCTGGACTCAAAGCCCAGGAGGCCTGCCTGGAAGTGGCATTCATTTCTGAAGACATGTCTAGCTGTTTTCCAAAACTGATTCAAGACATCAATCTGCTGAATCAAGAAGTCTAGTGAATTCCAAGAAGGATGAATGCAGACTCCCCCAGCTGGCCTTCTCCCAGTGAGGGGGCTGTAAGGATGAATGCTGACCCCCCAGCTGGCTTTCTCCCGGTGAGGGGGCTATAAGGATAAATGCAGAGACCCCCAGCTGGCCTCCTCTCAGTGAGGGGACCGTAAGGATGAATACAGAGACCTCTCAGCTGGCCTTCTCTGGGTGAGGAGGCCCGTAAGGATGAATACAGAGACCTCCCAGCTGGCCTTCTCTGGGTGAGGAGGCCCGTAAGGATGAATGCAGAGCCCCCCAGCTGGCCTCCTCTCAGTGATGGGGCCATTCAGTCACATGACCAGACATTGTTGGGGAGATTGTGGGTCTCTCCACAGTGCTCTGTCTATGCCAGGCACATATTGAGTGTCTGCTGACACACAATATGCATAAAATGTACATTTTATTTCTTTGTAGAATTGTTCAACTCACATATTTAGATGTATGTATGTAATTATTGTACAAGAATAACCCTCATTTATAAGAAAATTAACTTTGTAAGCTAACTAATTTCTTACGTGGATGTTTGTCTGAAGAAAAATTTTTAAAAATTCTTATTTTTAAGACAGAATTTCTGGTTAGTGTTCTAGGTTATCACAGAGGTACCCAGATGAGACACTCATGGGCCAAATGAATGGCCCGTGACTGGGGAAAGCTTCCCAGTTATGGCCCTTAACTCCCAGCAGTCCTGGGAGCTGGACAATTCCTACTCATTACAGGCGCTCAGAGTAGGAAGCTATGGAGCTACGGAGCTTCAATTAGCCAAGTCAACAGACAGACTCGCCACCCAGCAAGGCGTGAGCTACCATTTCCCACGGGCTGGCACTTTTGGTGGGGTGTCCCTGGCTGTGCACCAACCAAGGTGGGCCTCCGACCATCCGGAGTGTCTTACCTTACTGGAGAGAGGCTTAACCGCAATGCTCACATCACAGGCAATCTTCCCCGGGTTGCTGATTTTGACCCTGGCCTTGGCCTGATGGCCCACCAGGACATTGCAAAAGATGAACTTGTTCTCGTCCTCCACAAACAGCCCTCCGCTCTCTGTGCTCTGCAGGATGTGGTGCAGGTTGGTGCTGGAGCAGATCTGATGCTCCTCAAAAATCACGGCGTTGTTGTCGGTCACGAAGGCTGGGGACGAGAGCAGACGTGAGCGGTGGCCGCCAGCTCGATTCCTGCCCGAGTTACTGACCTGGAGGCTCGGGTTCTGAGGGCACAGACTTGTAGGAAAAGTCACACAAGGGCAGGGGGTGACGGGACAATTCTATCTGCCCTCTGCTTGTAGTGTTCCTGTCGGTCACTGTACTTCATCCAGCCATTTCCTTCCAGTGAGAAAGGACAGAGTGTGAGAGGTGGGGCAGACTTAGGAACAGAAAAGGCTACAGGACGCCTCCAATCAAAGCGAGATGCCTTCTCTCTGTTTCATCCCAGTTCCTGTTGGGGCTGAGAGCTGAGTCTCAGGAGAAGTTAGGGTGTCCTCAGCTGTGACCACTGTTCGCGGATCACACGATGCCCAGGTGAGTGGCCTGTGCACTTAGCAGGGCTCCAGGTTTCTGCATCCTGTGCCACATCCCATCTCTCCATGATGTCCGGGGAACATGACTCATCTGAGAACCCAGAACCTAAGTACAGGGGCTAAGAGTTTAAAGTGGCACGTCCTCACCTGGGTGTGTCTGGTTCGTATTTACTGACAAATACAGTTGTCACTCTTAAGGTCCAAGGTTCTCAAAGACGCAGCCCTGCCCACCTGCTGGACACCACTGGAGAGCTTTGCTTGGGGAAGGCTGGGGTAAAAACTCGCATTTTTTTGAGAGGCACTGTGTGCCCCGTACCTGGCAGGCAGCCTTCGGCCAGCAGTGTGTAAGGAATGCCCGCCGGCTGGTCCCTGGGGTCTCGGTCAGAGATGTCAATGGCGAGCAACTCCTCACACCTTCCCACAGAGTCGGCCACGCAGTCCACGGTGATGACTTGCTGCCCTCCGGCAGGAATGGAGCCGAAGCCGGGGTAGATGGTGAACATGCCGTGCGAGTAGCGAATCTGCAGGACAAGGGCGGGGGTCGGGAGGCCCAGTGCTTCGCCAGGAGTCACGGCAGGGGTCTTTGCAGGTCCCGCTGGATCCTTCCTAATTCCTTCACCCCTCCTCCCTCCACCCATCAAACTCTGCGACCCTGTGGATTTCCGCCTGGCTGCCCTTGGCCTCGGCTTCCTCTCCTCCTCCACCTGGGATTTCATACACATCTTCCTACTTAGCTATTTCTACAGTAATGGTCTTATGCAGGTTCGTCCTTAGGAGACGGACACAGTTCACTCAGTCACAATGCTCTCCAGCCTTTCCCACATTGTTGTTGTTATGGGCCGTCGAGTCGCCTGCGACTCATAGCGACCCTATGTACAACAGCCCTAAACTCCGCTCTGTCCTGTGCCAGTTGCACTGTCTCTGACACTCCCATCCCAATTATCCCAGTCACTGAATCAATCCACCTCATAGAGGGCCTTCCTCTCCTGCACTGTCC